ACTGTGGTGATATTTCTGTCTGATCACAAGTGTTTTCAGTTTCGGTTTCTTCCTCTGATGAAGAGCAGCGCGCTCATCATCCAGTAGGCTACAAGTCAAATTATTTATTTATATGTCCTAACTGTTTTTAAAAAATGGGCCAACGATCGGCCCATAAAGCATCAGGCCTAGACTGACATTGGGCTGGCCCAATCACATCTCTTACAGCACCCACTCCCTCCCCCTCTGCTGGAGCTGTTTCTTGTGTTGTGGGCCAAAATAATGATAATTCGCCAAATGCGTGAAAATAACCGATATGAGCTAAAAAAAAAAATATTAATAAGCTACTGATTACTGCATTATATTATATTATATTTTTATATTCTGAATCGTCACCTGCCACCTAAATTTTGTCCATCCCTTTATAAAAATAAAGACATTTCCACCGTAAATTGGTGCAGAAAATGTCTCAAGAATTTAGTGTTTAATGCTCAAAATCTTCAGAGGGAGGACACACAGACCCCCCTATCGAATATTTCATCAATAAATAATTCTGAATTCAGATTAAGCTAATAATTAAGCTAATTTATCATTGAGGTGAAAAGGTGCCATATGCACATTTCAAAAGACTTTAAGGTACTTCAGGCATGCCTGCATGTATGTAGACTCAGCTGTGGTTAAATTAAATGAGAAAATTGATACAGTTGAAACATATCTGACAGCCTCAATGCATTATATTAATATTCTTCTTATTTTGAATTGTCACCTGAGACATTTCCTCAATAAATTTGTGCAAAGAAATTCACCAGAACGCAGAAAATGAACTGTTTAAAGCCCAATTTTTCAGGGGGAGGACCCCCAGACCCCCTCAATTTAATATCAGTGTAAATTATTATCAATGGTAATTATAAATTTCATAATAAATGTAGGCTATATATATAATTTCCTGTTGCTTTATAGACGTACTTTGGGTAGGTGGCAATGGGGGGTTAAAACATGAAAGATTTCTGTGCTGGGCTAAGCCCCCAAGCTTGGAAACGCCCCTGGTCAAGTGTACGCCCAGTTGCACCCTCAGCACTGCCCTTGGTGTTAATTAAAATTATGGCCGTTTTCAGAACAAGTGACTGAAGTGGTAATCCTTAAACGTCAGTAAATTTTGTAGATGTTTTCAAATATTTTGGCGTTTTTAACATTTTACTGAATAACTGCGATTCTTTACTGCAGTCAGCTACCTAATGACATTGGCATTACCTAGCAACATTTCTACATCAATTTACATGCAGAACAGGTTTCAGTACATATCATGAATTACCTTAATACCTAATTTATACACAGAAATATACTTTATATTGCCTTTTAGTGTTCTTCCATGGGAGCTGCCATTGTTGTTGTGTGACATCATGTCTCCCCTAAAGTCGATATTTTAGTTCCACTCTCGTAACACCAAATTTGTAAAACCTTAGTCGTTCATGTGTGCGCATTTTTATGTATAAACAAATATTTGTGTCTTTGCTTCATTTTGGTCTGTACCAAATTGTATGGCAGACCATCTAACAGTCAACCTAGGGCACAATAGCAAAGGTCAGGGCTTCATCATCCGGCCATTGGGATACATCATTTGGTAACCAAATGTACAAAAGTTGGAAGTTGATCTATTTCACAGGAGAAGTGAATACTTTGACCTGCTGGTGATGCTACAAAAAAAATCAGGGGATCACAACAGTCATTAGGACACATCCTTTTCACAGCAATTTCACAGCAATCCATCTAAAGGTTATTGCTATATTTTAGTACAGACCAAAGTGGTTGATCAACTGACAGACTGACACTGTCATCTCTGAAGCCACACTGCTACCTTGGCTAATACAATTATGAATGTGTTATTCCTGTTTAGGTCCGTGCATGGTGAATATCATCATCATTATCATTTAATCCAGCTACAGTAATATGATTCAGAATCAGAAGATGCTTTATTGCCAGGTAGTGTTTTACAAAATACAAGGAATTTGCTTTGATGATAAGGTATGAAGAATAAGGTGCTACTCGTGGACAAACATACAGTTGACATAAATAAACCTAGAAATATATAAATATGGAATAAAGAATGTAAGTTATATAAAAATAATAAAAGGATTAGAGAAAAATAATCCAACTATTTACAGAAACGTCGCAAATATTTACATTTACATTACTCCGGGTTTGTGTTGTGCAGACGTATTACAACGGAAGATAATGTTGTGTACATAAATATATAATATATTAATACATAATGAACTGTTATGTTTTTCTTACCTTAGAATGAGCCATTTCTATCTACACACACCACGGGTCCTCTTACATGGACATCGCCATGTTGCGCCGCCATGTTTCTATAGTAGCTACAGAGCGCATTTCATCACTACATTGAATACGTACGATGAAGAAGAAGAACACAAGTAACGTTAGTAGTAGTAGTAGTCGGTGGTTTATTAGAAGTAAGAAAGAAGAGAAATGTGGACAAATGGAGGCCCACACGTATTAATTAGCACAAGAGCCGACAGAGCGTGTTGGACACTGAAGCTTCTCCTGCTGGCTTTGAGTGATGGTGCATCGATGTGGTGTCGGAATAATCATAATCTTTCAAAATCACGTATTGTATAGGCCTATATATATTTTGCAAACATGTCATTTGTAATATGGTTATAACGGTTAGTTTGCTGTCCATGTAGAGTGAACTAGATGTCTGCGGGTTGTTTATATACTCTGATTATGTTTATCCAACACATCTTTGTAGCAGCGTCCATGTTGATTCCACATTCAGACTTAAGAGCACATGAACGCACACTGAAGTCAGAAGAACGACTTCACTACTCGAGGAGCACGTGAACGCGCCGTGAACCACTGGTTGCGATTTGCAATCCTCACCACTAGATGCCACTAAAATGTACACACTGAACCTTTAAATGTTACATTTGAGCCATAAAGTAAGTCTCTTTTTGGTTTGCACACAGGACTTAAACAGATGTCTCCTGGGTGAAAGTCCATCCTTCCACCCCATCCACAGGGTAATGAGGCAACATTTTGCAGATAAATTTACGGTGATCTTTTGAATACAGGATGTCTGTGAAGGTTCTGTCATCCAGGTCATAGTTAGCCAAAGACGCTCAAAGTCAAGGGCAACTGGACTTGGTTGAAGACACTAGAAGATGTTTCGTCCCTCATCCAAGAAACTTCTTCAGTTCTGAAATGACCAGTAGGAAAACTCAGTCTCTGTGGGACCGTTTGCCAGGATCATCGATCCTGCTGGTTTGTTAGTGCTCCTGGCTGTGGTACGACAGTTGTTATGGTCGTTAGAACCACCCGTGGCCGCGTCTGAACGACCATCGTTGGCATCTTCACGTGAGGCCAAGAGGAAATGCTTGGTCAGTTTCCTTGGAAGTGATGAAAGGACAGCATTGTAAGTGGGGGATAAGTGGTGGCGTAGACCCCCTCCCCTGTTTAGCCACAGCTTCTCAACCGGGGTATAGATGGCTTCTTTGACACCTCTTTCAAACCATCCATCCTCTCCGTCTAAAATGTGCACTTGGTGGTCCTCAAACGTCCTCTGTCCTTCAGATGTAAATAAACTGCTGACTCTTGACCTGAGGAGTCGGCCAGTCAACTCTGCCAAATATTTGGCATGCTAGATATCTGGCAGACGTCAGCGATGTGTCAGAAATGCGTCATTGAGTAGTTCACACACAACGACTGGCGACCGCCAATCAACCGCTGATTTACCCCCGATCAAAGCTCGAGCTCGCCAAGTGGCAAATCGAGCTAAAAATCGTGTAGTGTGAACTAGGCTTTAGTTTCCCCAATATACAGGTCTGTGCATTGGACCACATACACTCCATTGTTTTCTTGTTTTTGGGTGTGCGGTCTTTAGGGTGGACCAGGATCTGTCTCACTGTGTTCTTGGGTTTAAAAACACAGGGATGTGAAACTCCAGACACTTATGGGATCACAATGTTGTTGCATTTGACTTTTTCTCCTCATCCCCTGTAGTGCTGGTCTTCTTCCTTTACATTGTAGCCTATTGCTACTTTTACTTAAAGATACAATGTGTAAGATTTGGCCAGAAATACATTTTAAAACATAAAAAAATTAACTTACATAAACAAAATTTAAAGACATAATAGCTCTGATATCATGTTGAAGATGTATGTATGTATATCTACTGAAGTTAGCATGCTAACCAGCTGGCCCTGGCCCACCCCATGTAGTAATACCACCTGTGCCTTGAGCTGCAATAGTGAGTCAAGCTTTTATGAGGTTATTATAATGATAAACTCTGTGATTAGAAAAGAAGAGCAGAAAGAGTAGCCTGACTGAGGGGAGGATGAGGAGGAGAAAGGAGGTGAAATGCTGCCTCCTATTTGTTGCCAGTAACGATGCATTCAGTTCAGTTTTATTAATGTGGCACCAATTCAAAACAGAAGTTTTCTCATTGCACATACTGTACCTGAAGTAAGAAAGTAAAGAATCTTCGGTAACAATTTAGTTGCCTAAGTTTTTTTACACCACTGAAGCACAACCACTGTACATTCAGTCCAAGGAGATTAAAATCTTTTATTCAGTCCATGATTAATGCATTCTTGATTTAGGCTACTTAAAACTTTAACAATCATCTAAAAATAAATTAAAATAAATTAAATAGCATTTCGAAAATATTGGATTTTGAAAAATTGTATCTTTGATAATAGTGCTGTGTTGAGGGGTGAATAGGGACTAATGATCCGCGGGCGCACGCACGCACGCACGCACGCACAGGCAGTTGTCAGTTGCCTTGGCCGCTTTACACGGGCGCAGCTTTGTCAATGGCCGTATATCTTGTGAGAGGATTAATGCAGCCTAAAGGTGGAGCAAAAATTGTGAAGGTTTGTGGCGGACGGGAGCCTAATCCTTTGAGCTCTTGCGGAGACACACGGAAAGAGAGGAGCGAAAATGTCGAACTTTGCTATCGGATTTGGCGCATTTTGTGAGGAACTGATGGGCTGAAGAATATTCCCCCCACCCCACCCCCCAATAACGGGACGTGAGCATAGACGTCCGTGTTGTAGTCAGGACAATTTAATGGCAATATTTCATCAGACAGAGCACCCCAGGGAACAGAAATGGTGCACAAACTTCTGCTTCACATCGGTAAGTTTACAGCTGTATTTATATTTCATAATCGGTAGACACATCACACTTATTGAAAAATCATAACCACCCTGGTTTATAATGCTGTAGACTATATTGTTAGTTTCTCCCTTCTGGTATTTATTCCAGCTTTGTTTCTTTTCTTTTTTTTTTTGTTTAGGCCAATTATCACCATCTGATGACAAGTTGCAAAAAACATCATAATGTTTCACCTCTGCTCTTCTCTCAGCTTTAGCAGCAAGCCTCATCTCACCTGAGCTGTCAGGCACCTCTGCCACCAAAACAAAAGCTCAAGGTATCATATCACATCCTGAGTCACCCTTCATTCTTCACTTTTAACCATGACTTCCGGTGTTCATTGTGGTTCATATAAATCAGTGTGTTGCATTGCTTACTATGAAAACAAAGATGAATGTGGTTCAGATTAGAGTTGATTAATCCGTTACTCTGACCAGTTCATTCGTGAGCAATTAAATCAGTTATTACTCAACAATGTCAGACAAAGTAGGCTGCATCATTAGAGATGTCACCATGTCATTTTATAGACTAATCGACTTAAAACAAAATAATAAAAATGAATCATTAGTTGCAGTCCTAGCTCAGAACTATGCCTAGTGTGAGTGAGATCACTGCACTTTGTCTAATCCAAAGTACTGTTATCCAATCTAGTAAGATCAAACTCTAACTAATCGGCAAGTTTGGTATATTCTAACAAAGCCAGAAAACGAGATTGGGTAGAACGACAGCCGATTCATCATCTTTCAACTTGGAAGTACATTACTAGATGATAAAAAATAATAATCTTTCCTCTTTGTGATTTAAAGTGTCAAAATGAGTAATGGCTGGATTGATTATGTGTGTAATCTTCCACAGTAAAAATTAGGAAATTGATTTAGCTTTTTGATGCTGACAAGCACAGCAACATGATTAAACAAACTCAACTTAAATGTACAGAAAGTTATATTTACTGTCTCTAATATGACATAAAGTACAGTCCATACAACAACCAGTATACACTTTATATTCTAAATTGCATTTTCAGACATATAAGAGGAAGAGATGATAAATAAAATCAGCTGTCCAACATGTGGTGAGCTAAACACTTTAATCTGTCTGTCTATCTGTTTGTGCACTGTCTACCTGCGTTTCCAGTGAAGAACAACTCAGGTGTGACGCCAGCTGGGGAGTGTGGGACCTGGGTTAAGGAGCCTGAAGGAGGGTATTTCACCTCACCCAACTACCCTGAGAAATACCCACCTGAGAAGGAATGTGTCTACATCATAGAAGGTGAGGCGTTCATCTTCTTTCTTTTTAGCCTCTCACTGACTTTCCAGCCCTCCTTAATCTCACCTTCTCTTAACCTCTCTTCCTGCTCCAGCCTCTCCCCGACAGTGCGTCGACTTATTCTTTGATGAGAAGTATTCCATAGAGCCATCCTGGGAGTGTAAGTTTGACCACATCGAGGTCCGTGATGGGCCCTTTGGTTTCTCGCCCATCATCGGTCGCTACTGTGGGCAGGAAATCCCAGCATATGTCCGCTCCAGTGGGAGATACCTCTACATCAAGTTTGTGGCTGATAGTGAACTGGAGGCCATTGGTTTCGCTGCCCGGTATAACTTCACACAAGGTGAGTAAATCTGAATGAGCGGGCTGCATATCATATAAGCTGCACTAATCAATATTTATATATTAAAAATGCATGATATGACCCTAAGAATTATCACCTGATTCTGCACTCACCCTTCCCTCCTCCATTGTTTAAGTTTTGCAACCTTGCTTCCAGCATCAACATGCAAAAAACCCACTGTGCGCTACCTGCCCAGCACCTAATGGGAGAAAACAATTAGTGCTTCTTTCACTCTAAACCAAAGCTTTATCATAACTTAACCTTACCCAAACCTAGCCAGAGCTGTTAAGTGCAAGAGAAAGGAAAGTAGTGTGTCCAATTTGTTCTATTGTCACATAATCATAATTATGGAGGAACAAATTCATGAAGGAATGTAAAGATCCATCTGAAAAGCATTTTTCAAAATCATAATCAGTAATTCGGTTTCAGAATCTGTTCTGATTTTGTGAAATTTGCATCAAAATTCCAGTGGCTAGGTGGCCTGATAATCAGTCTGAACTGCCATTTCATTTACTCCTAATTCATTTATTTTAAACTAGAAGGGCACTTAGAGGGCGCAGACCTCCGCTAAGGCCAATAGTCCAGTTTTTTGTGATATGCAAATCTGCAAGCGCAACCACTACAGACAGGAAACAAATTAAAGGATAAACCTGAAAAAACAACAACCAAATCTATTTAGTTATGTCATTGATGTGTCTGGCTATGTTTGTCAATTTACCTGCTGCATTTGTTTCTACAGTGATGTTTGAGGCAGCTGTTTTATGTTTAGTTGCGGCACACCATTTAATTACAACTTTCATTTTGCCCTAGACACCGGTGTCAGTCCTATGTTTTCATGGCACCCAAAACATAGCCTTCTTGGCAGAGGTAAAAATGAATAATAAATAATAATTAACTTTTATTTGAATCGCTGAAAAAAAAGCAGGCGTGTCAGGAACTGGTTTGATTCAGAATAAGGAGTGTTGAATTTGTTGCCACTTCAAACAACACTCACTTGTTTTAAAAATAAATCTGTTTTATGATGTGACGATGCTTTGGTTAAGGTTTGGTTAGTTTAAGGCACAAACACGACTTGGTTAGGTTCCGGGAAAGATCAGGATTTGGGTTTAAATTACTCTTGTTAAAGTTATGGGAGCCTTGTCATCATAATTGCAATAATAAACACTTGGTTAAGGTTAAGAAATGACTGTCATGCTTTAAAAAAAAACAGGAAACAAACAACTGTCTTATGTAAAAGTCTGATGTTTTGTTGACTCGACTTGACCGTACGTCGCTCTATAGCCATTTTAAACAGAGACCCCGCACTACTGCCATAAAGGAGACACCCCTTATGCCAGCTTTGCTTTTTTTCACTGAAGTAAACAGCATTTAGGAAGCAAAAGAGGTGTCACTTCCTTTTGGGAGTGTGGCAAAAGCATGGAAATACTTCTGCTATATTGTTGTTCTTGTATCATCCCAGCTGCAGCTCTGGCTGGCTGGGGGGGGGGCGATGATATTTAGAGTATTACTACGGCTCTAAGCCTTCGACTCCTTTCCTTGGCACTTTCCCAATCCACCACCCTGCTGTGAGTTTAACATTGTTGGCTGCCACATGCCAAAACTGGCTACCGTTTTTACACAGTCTCTCCCTCTCTGTCTTTGCCCCATTAGGGTAGCCAAAACGACCAATTAAAACACACATTATCCACAGTGTTATATGCACTTGAATAAGACCAATACTACAGAAAAACCCTGTAATATTTAAATTGTATTAAAAGACGTGGGGCAGTGTACCATATAAGCTGTTTTTTATTTTGCATGACATGTCAAGAAGTTTCATATTGCAACTTTAATACTGTACGCTGCAGGGAATATATACTCTCATTTCCATTTGTAGTGCAGGCACACCAGCTGCAGCTGACAAGGGAAGGGGAGCATTTATTCAAACACACACATATATATAAACACACACACACACACACACACACAGACACTTGTTCCCTCAGTTACACGCACACACACAGTTAATGAAAGCTTGTCTTCAGGGGAATACAGCTTGTCAGCGCTGAGCCGCAGTAGCAGCTTAAGGGAGTCCGAGGCAGAGGCTTTATTAACAGCAGATTTTATAGGCCACCTACACTGACGAGGGGCAAAGATTAATCTGCATCCCTCTGTCCTTCAGCCATCTTTCTTTCTTTCTTTCTTAAAACATGATTAAGACTCTGTACATTACATTTTGATTTTGCAAAGGATGTCCCAATTTTAGACTACAGTCCTGTGAGTCCTTCCCACGCACTCTAGTTTTTAAGTTGCTTGGGGGCTGAGGTTGTTTGTGTCGGGGCCCAGTGCTTTTTTTCTTGCACAGTTTCTGTATTATTTCACAACATTTTACAGTACCTTACCAACACCAAGTGTTAACAACTTACTAAGCATACGTAATTGTATACATTTTCAGAAACAGAACCACTTGGACAAGCGCCTGTCCCCAAAACATGAACCATCCCTTTCCCTTATTTCATTACTTTTCATTAAGCTGTTTTCTGTCTGTTTACATCAAATGTAATGAGTCTCCCGTGCCAAATGCTAATCTCCTGTCTTACTCCACTCATCACCGGTGGCAGGGGAGAATTAATTTACCCACATGCATTCGTGCTTAGACACATTTAAAAAAAAGTGCAATTTTTAAAAAGGGTAAATGCATACTAAATTCACTTTCACTTTGATGCCTTTTGTATTTAAGCATGTTATAGCCATATAAGGAGGATTTATAATTTTACTTTTTATGGATTTCTTTATGTAGTTGTGAGCACTGTGAAAGACCATGAGCACATTTTGGGGTTTAACACTGTACAGAAAAACTACTCACACAAGTGTGTGCACAAGATAATACGTTGTCAGCGTAAGTTAATATGTTGTGCATGCAAGATAAAAGAAAATCACCTTTTAGGTAATTTGGGGCTCTGCAAATTATAGCAAAATGCATTTAATGTAGGCTGGTTAGCAGGGCAGTGGAACATTGCAGACACATTCTGCAACCACAGTAATACATAATGCTGACTTTTATGTGTGTGTGCAAGTTATTTAACAAACTTAAAGGTGCCCCATGGAGTTTTCTTAAAAACAAACAAAGATTAAGTTTACATTCAGTGTGCATGCTTTGGGCAAACAAAACAGGGACCCACTCACTAATTAATTGTTCCACAGTGCCAATAAAGGGGACCACAGGGTATCTTTAATACCTGTTATTCATGTATGCAGCCTCATTGTTGCTTTAGTAATGTAATCATATATCTGCTGAAGCTGTGCCTCATCCTTATCTGATGTCCCCCGATTAACTTTGCTCCTTATTTTCTCAGGAGTTGGCTTACATTCATCAGGTAGACAAATTCTAAGGCTAATGTTGCTAATATCTGCTGGGTGTGTAAATAGGAAACTGTTTAGCCACATAACGGCAATAACATAATAATATAAGGTCTTAACAATTTTAATAGCTTGTCCCCAAGTAAACTGTTATTGGGAGTTTAAATTAATTGCCATACATAGGCCTAGTCAATATACATAATTCAGTCTCATCCTTTATCAAAGTGCATTCTCAGAAATTCTGGAGATTTAAGATCTTTAGACATATCAGTGGAAAAGTGGAAAATTAAACATCCAATAGTGAAATATCATATCAATTATGTTATTTGATTCCATGGTAGTTAAGTAAATTTATATGTTGTATTAATAGTCAGTGTTCTTGTGTGTACCAAACATTTTCAAACTGAATAATATTATGAGAGGTTTTACATAAAACATTCTAAATCTTGCCTTCATCTCATATTTACATTTTCTTTTCTCATATTAGGTATAAAGCCTCTGGAAATGCAGCATTGCAACACACACACGCACACACACACACAGAGGAATGAATCTGAATAATCTGGACATGTCTAAAGCAGACATGAAGCAGGGGTGGGAAACATGAGAGGATTAATAACAGTCCTTGTTTATTTGAGCCTCAACCATCACCTGCACATCTTACATCACAACAACGATCAACGATACAAATATTTTGAGAGAAACTATGGTTTTAAAATAAACTGCATTTAATAAATCCTTACTCTCCACTCCACACTGCGTCCTTTAAAACACATTTTTCCTGTACGTGGTTAATATTGAACCTGGTACTTCCAGGAGAAGTTTGAAAAGAAATGATGTTTTTATCACCACGTCGTCGCTGCTGGTGGAGCCTAATCTCTCCCGAACTAAGCTGATATATCAGGATTTATAATCCACCTAGCACGTTGATTCATCAGCACAAAGGTTTAGAACACAATTTCTCTTCCCTGTCTAATGCTAAGTGTGTGTTTTTTTTCTTTGGTGAAGGGCATCGGGGTTTCAGGAGAGTTTAAATGAGGGCAGAGCAATGTTCTAGCACATAGATTATGGAAACCTTGACCAGCTGTGTTGTGTTTTGAAATATGTCTTTAATATTGTCATTGTTATTTTGTGGTATTAAGTTTTTTTTCCCCTTTGTAATACATTTTTTTTGAATCTCTAACCTTTTCCTAGACCACATTTGTTGCAGTGAATATTGCATGCACACGTTTCAATTGCTTCAGATGAGGTTTAGATGAGTTTACCAATCTGCGCAAAACTGTCCAACCAACTCAGCAAGTGGATCAGATGGATTGTGTAGTATCTACATATGTGATTCTCAATCATGTGTACTAGTACTAGGAAGTACTAAAATAGAAATTATTATTTGATGACCAGGTGTGTGCATTTAGTAGAAAAATAAGATAACAGATAAGGTTATACATTTGTGTCAGGCTGATTTTGTTGTATTTTTAGTGTCCAGTCACAATAAAGATTGTGGTTGTGCTTAATAAAAAAGCAAATGTTAAATGAGGGTCTGTGAAAGGGCACACACTCGTCTTAATAAAGGGGAGGTGGTGGTTGGTGAAAACTAGCTTGCAAGTGAGCAGAGAAGTCAAAGTCGATCGCTAAAAGTGATGATAAATGGCTGAAATGACCAGCTTCTGCCACTGAAAGTGATAAAAGTGCAAGCACACTGATTAAAAAATACTAAACATCGACAATTACAGGATCTACAACAACATCCACTTATAAATATCCAGGTTAAAATCAATTTTAAAAAGAACATATTTGAAGCTCATCTCTGTTAACAACATGAATTGTATTTTGTGGGGTTGATGTATGTAGTGTTGGAATTTGTGTTAATGTGGGACTTTGTCTTGCAGCCCATTTTGAAATGTGGCCCCTAATTGTGGAAAGGCTTGAGTACATGTTACAAAGATTTATTAGTTTCTAACAATATTATGTTCTGCTTTTAGATCCTGAGTTCAAAGACCTCGGGGAACTGCCGGCTCTGCCATGTGAGTATTCAACTTGTGATTTTATGTCACAACATAATATTAGACCTGCTACAGGTCAGGAGCTTTGTTTAAATGTAATACTGCTAACTGAATCACATATTTGTTCATACAAATGATTACCTATATTTATTTATGTCTGAGCCCTCATTTTTGTTGAAGGGATAATACGGCCCAAACTGTTACTACATTTTTACAGTTAGTCAAATACTAGGTATCTACCACCAAATCTAGTATTACTTTAACAGAAACCTGTTGTTATCCACAGTTTGTGAGTTTGAGCTGAGCGGTCCAGAAGGCTTTGTAGAATCCACACAGATAGCCGGAGAGGGCCGGGCGCTGCAGACCGAGGCTGTAGACTGCAGGTGGTACATCAAGGCTCCACCAAGAGCTAGGGTCTGTATATGTCAAACCGGTGGTGGTGTTACATGTAGCTGTTTGTCACTTGCAGTTTGCACTTATTTGCGTATGAAATGAATGTAATTTTCAGGAAGTTACACCAAAACCTACTATGGCATGCAAGCAAGTCTATTTTCACAATTTTACACAAATGTTCAACTTTTTAACAAAGAACAAAAACTTCAGGGGGGGTTTCCTGCCACTGCTCGTTTGCTTGTAGAGAGAGTAGACCCAACGCTATATCTTTAACATACATTGTGTGTACCTACATTTTTCCTACTGTGGCTACTGTTTCATAAAAAGTTTGATTACCCATTCAGTTCTAATTTTCATTGACAGGTAATGCTAATGTTTAGCTAAAACGCTCAAGTACTGACATTTTACTCAAGTAAAAGTAATAATAATAATAATAATATTATTTATAGAGCACTTTTAAAACCAAACGTTGCTTAACATGAAGAAATTATAACATAAAAACATATATAAAACAATACAAAAAACAAAAGTCACTAAAATATACTTCAAACAAAATCAGGTAAAATCAGGGAATGCTCTTTGATAAAAGTATGTTATAACAAGGGATTTAAAAGAGTTTACTGATTCAGCTGACCTAATTTCCTCAGGTAGATTGTTCCAGACCCTCAGTGCCCTAACTGCAAAGGCTCTGTCCCCTCTCAGTTTCAGCCGGGTCTCTGGGACCACTAAAAGCCCCTTACTTGAGGATATAGGGTACTAGTAGTATAGCAAGGGGCGAGACCATGCAAAGCCTTAAATGTAATCAGTAAAATCTTAAAATCAATTCTAAAACATACTGGGAGCCAATGTAACGAGGCCAAAACAGGAGTGATATGCTCAAGTTTCTTGGTTCTAGTTAAAAGCCTGACAGCTGAATTCTGAACATACTGTAGCCGATCAATAGATTTTCGATTCAGGCAGGAAAAGAGACTGTTACAATAGTCCAAACGTGAAGAAATAAAAGCGTGTAAAATGGTCTCAGTATCTTTAAAAATTAAAAAAGGTCGGATTTTTAGAAATGTTTCTAAGATAATAAAAACAAGATTGCACCAGCTTTGTGGTGTGATGCTCTAAACATAAATCACTGTCAAACCCGACACCAAGATTCCTCGCCACTGGCTTGATTTGATCTGATAAACCAAGGCAATCTGTGAACGGCATAATATGTTTTGTCAAATGCTTGGGGCCAATGATGAGGATCTCTGTTTTATCTGAGTTTAACTGAAGGAAATTATCGGATATCCAGTTTTTTGAACTCACTAAGGCAATTCAGTTAACATTTCAGTCAGTGTGTTTAATGCAGTACATAAGTTTTGGAGGCAAAATGTTCTTTTATGTATGAAAAGTAAAAATTGGTCTCTTAAAATTAAGATTATTATTAGTTATATTGTTATTCACATACTACTGGAATATTACTAGTGACAGAATAACATGTAAGAAGCACTTCAGTGTTGTGAAGGTGGAGTTTACTTTGACAGCTTTTTATACTGTTTGGTAGTTTTTCTATAACATTGCATCATATGTTATGAACTTAAAAGTACAATATTTTCCTCTGCAGTGTAGTGGAGTAGAAGTATAAAGTAGCACAAAATCTAATAAGTTATGTAATGTACAAGTAACTAAAATATGTACTGTATGTTACAAGAACTTGAGTGAATGTAGAGCAACTTAATTACATTACATAACTGAATGTTAGCATAAGCCAAAAAAAGCTAATGATTTAAATAGCATCAGTTTGGTGTTTACATCTTTCTTCACTAAAATGTGGTCTGTCTCTTTAAAAAGCAATAGAAGGAAATAATTGTGGAGGAGTAAATGTCATCAAACATTCACTGCACCTTTTCTTGATTGTACTCAACTTTTTACCCACAGATCTACATGCGTTTTCTAGAATATGAGATGCACAACTCCAATGAGTGCAAACGTAACTTTGTTGCCATCTACGACGGCAGCAGTTCGGTCGAGCACCTGAAGAATAAATTCTGCTCCACGGTGGCCAACGATGTCATGCTGGCGTCCTCTGTAGGCGTGGTGAGACTGTGGGCAGACGAGGGGAGCAGGAAGAGCAGATTCAAGATCCTCTTCACAACCTTCCATGAACGTGAGTGAATCTCTGTTTGTGAATCTTTGTTTTATCAATGGATCAAATGTCTAATTGTGATGTGAAGAGGTTTGTCAAGTACATTCAAATGTTTGCCTTTTTTTTTTTTACCATTGCATAAATTAAATTGTCAAAATGTGATTTTTAATCAGTGTTTCCCACAGGATGTGTTGAGACTATGGCAGGTGGGTCTGAGGCCCAAGAGGGTCCGGTAAAATAAATTACATGTGTCCATTTAGTTGTACTCCGATGGTTGTGAGTTGGGTAGAAGGATAGTAAGTCAGCTGCTTTTTACCCATTACTGAAGAAGAGAACTGAAGAAGTCCTTTGGATGAGGGACGAAACATCTTCCAGTATCTTCAACCAATTGCCGTTTTGGAAGACATGTACAAATGCCACCGGTAGGGGCGCTATTTTAGGATACGCTCAGATGAGTCGTATTTGGAGGTTGTAGGACCTCTAAAGTTCAGACTGCAGGCCAATGTGACCCAAATCTGATTTTTTTGCCCATATGTGACTCAGATTTGATCTTTTTATGCCAGTGTGAACAGGCCAAGTCACATGGAATCTGATCTTTTCCAGTTCGGAATTGGGCCACTTCCACATGTGGTCCAAATCCGATACAGATTGGATCTTTTTAAATGCGACCTGACTCGCGCCACTCAGGTCGGAATTGATGCAACTTTGATGTCACTCTAGAGCAGCTGTTGTCACATTTCTGCTGAAGACAGCGCGGCGGTGAAGGAAAAAGCTCCACAAAAAGCTATTATTAAACAGCCAGAAGGTTGTGAACACTTGTCATTATTCGGGAGAGAACAATGAAATACGGGACTCTCTCGTGAAAATTAGAATCGGATCTGGGAAAAGAAATTGGGAATTGAGCATTAAGGCCTGCAGTGCGTAGCCTACGTCACCTGAGCAGCACCAAATGACAGAGGTAACAACAAGCTGGTGAACATAGAGGAGCATTTAGCAGCTAAAGAGTCATTATTTATTATTTCCCTCTGGACATGACCAAAGCAGAGCTAAATGCATAATGACTCTTGGACTTCCCATTCGGCAGATATCAAAATGACTCCCAAGTGAATGCTCATGTTGCTCTGTTTCTCCTGGATATGCAAACTTGGCAGTTCACTAACATGTTCTCCATAATATGTTAAGTGATACTACATTTTGTTTTCAAATTGTTGCCCTTAATACATAAACTAAATCAATGCTGCTGTAAATTCACATTCATTAGAAAAGTTATTACTTTGGCCCATCTGGTGGTAATATTAACAATGACAGTGAGGTAAACAGAAATGAGACTATTTAAGCCTTAACCCTTTAAGTCTGGGTTGTCACTGTTTGAAATGTGGTTGTTTTCAGTCTACTGGGTACACCAGCTGCATGACTCCCTTTTTTGTTTTGTTTTTTCAGCTCCGTGTGAAGGAGACACTTTCTTTTGCCATAGCAACATGTGCATCAACAACACCCTAGTCTGCAACGGTATCCAGAACTGTGTTTACCCATGGGACGAGAATCACTGCAAAGGTACCCTGACACAAAGGCTGAGAAGCCATCTATTGGCTGTGGATGAACATAGACTCATTCTTTGCCATGTTATCTCCCTAACTAGAGAAGAGGAAAGCCAGTATCCTGGACACGCTGGATCACACTAACCTCACTATCATTGGTGTAACCTGTGGCCTGGTTATCATTCTGCTTATCATCTCTGTCATCATCCAGATCAAACAGCCTCGCAAGAAATACATCATCCGCAGGTGAGGGAGACAAAAGGGAAAAACAAACGAACCATAACATGATAAAATTCGCAAACATTTTCTCATTTCAAAATTAAACATTTTTGGCAAGGTACTCAAGACAGTTGGGTGAATTACATGCCGCACTAATCGAGGATCACGTGTAATGTGAAAGTCGCTTGGAGTGACCAACTATACTGAACAAAATTATCAACGCAATACTTTTTTTTGCCCCCATTCATGAGCTGAACTCAAAGTTCTAAGACTTTCTCTATGTACACAAAAGGCCTATTTCTCTCGAATATTATTCACAAATCTGTCAAAATCTGTGTTAGTGAGAACTTTTCCTTTGCCAAGATAATCCATCCACCTCACAGGTGTGCCTTAGGCTGGCCACAATAAAAGGCCTTAGGCTGGCCACAATAAAAGGCCTTAGGCTGGCCACAATAAAAGGCCACTCGAAAATGTGCCACAACTGTGAGTGTGATGGATTATCTCTGCAAAGGAGAAGTGCTCACTAACACAGATTTTTACAGATTTGAGTTCAGCTCATGATGAATGGGGGCAAAAAAAATAAATGTTGCGTTTATAATTTTGTTCAGTGTAATTTTGTTTAGTGTAGTTTGTAATAGCCTCTTTTAGCCTCTTTGTTTTAGTTTTCTCATCAACTTCCTTTCCATCTGCAGTAGGCCACAGTTGTCAGCGTAACACTGTAAAGGCCAAATTAATTTAGTTGACATTGGGTAAATGATTGAGTAGAATTAATGCCATTTTAAAGCACAATTTTGAGTCAGAAAAATCTCACAGAGCAGTGACAAACAATGATTGTAAAGGGGTTGGAAAACATACTGTTTCGACAAGCAGAATTTTGGCTGTTTAACTCCAACCCTAATCAGGATTCCCATATTTAAATGTCAGTAAAAAAAGTTAGAAAACTGGAATAATTCCAGTGCACAGGGAAATTCTCATTTGTTTTGTGAAAAAGTGAATAAGTGCACGAATTACAGGCATGCAGGCTCAAATTGCACATTCATAAAAATGCACAATAAATACTTTACGTGAATATATTTACACTGAGAGGATATGTACATATTTCTCAGTGTCTGGTTGGTTAAGGTTTAAAATCACTTTGAGCAATACTATGAGCTTTGGGGGGCTTTTCTGAACATTTACTGTATCTTTATTCTGTGTGTTGATGTTTTTGTGTGTCTCTTCCTCCCTTTACTTACCCACAGAGATGACTTTGACCCTGCCCTCCTCCATCCTGGTTTTGAGCCTCCTCACTATGAGCTCTGCACTCTGCGACGCACCCCATCCGGTGACCTGACTGACGCCGCCCTGGCTGAGGACTTCGAGAAGTTCCACAAGCTCCGCTGCTCCTCCAAATGCATCCGCGACCACCACTGCGGTCAGGAGAGCTTGCATGGCAGCATCCATGGTAGCCGCAGCAATCTGAGCATGAGGGATGCTACCATTGCAGCAGACGGGGGGGTTCTTGCGCCGCCAGCGTTGCCACCAGTGATGGCGAGCCAGCAGTCTCCACGCCTCTCCCACCACACTACACCAGCAAGTCGAAGGAGCATTCTGGTGATGAAGCATAGCTATTCTCAGGACGCGGCAGGGGGGTACAGGGCGGAGGAGGAGGATGATATGATGATGAATGATGGTCCCACCACCAGCCAGCATCATATGCACCACCATCAGATCCACCATGGCATGCCAGGGCTGGACCACACTGTCCACCGTACACTGTCTAATGACTTCTAACATAAGGCAACACTGATCACCTCAATTCTTTATCTCTTGCAGTTTAAAACTAATTTATAAATTATATTTCTGTTTAATTTGTACAAATGAATGCTGATCTCTTGTTAGTGTTTCTTGGTCTTATACTCGTCACTAAACAGAAGATTTACAGTACAAACAATGTGTAAACAACAGGAATAGAGAGGACTAGAGATTGTGAAACACATGAAGGAATCCAAGTCACGTATTTGTGATTTTACAACACAGGGTTGCACAGTGAATTGCAAGTTGTAGCCAAATCATGCTACACACACAAAGAAGATATAAACAAATATTTACATTTACAATAAATAAAAACATATGGGAATATGACACTGTACGGTAGTCACAGGGACACTGTCAAGATTTGACAGGAATGGATCAAAGAAGGATTTATATCCACAGATACTGAGATAATTAAATTCTTAATGTTTGAACTCTGGGATAGAATATATTTATGACTGCATTATATTTGAGATTATTTTATGAATGAATAGTTTGTGCATTGTAGTGATCCCTACGTGTACTGCAACACCAAAGCAAGCCAAGTGTCACTATTGTTAGGCTTTTCCTTTTCCTCCAACAAAAAAAGATTTTTTCCTGGTGAACACTGGTCCAGAACAAATAGGAAAAGACATTCAACAATATTAGGAAACATATTAGTTACACAGGTGAAATCAGCACACAGAAACATGCTTCATGCAAAATACAGTTTTGCAGATACCCTGTGGGCTTAAACAACATTTTTTATGTTGTGTAAATGGATATATGACTTAATTGTTAGTTTTTGTTCTGGAGTATTTATTGATGTTTATTTGCCAGATCAGTTTTTAAATTTGGATTGCCCCGCTTTTTTCTGGCAGATTGATTTCTGTTGATTATGTGTCTGTCTCTATTTATTTATTCCATTAAATATCTTCTTTTTCCTTTACTCTGCATGGCACCATGGCATTGTCATCTAGTGTGTGTGTGTGTGTGTGTGTGTGTGTTTGTATTTATTTGTACATACTTTTCATTTTGTTTAACTTGTTGTGCAGTCTGTTCCCTGTCAGTCAGTGTTTCAGTAGTGGAACAACACAAAAGTTAACCATTTTCCCAAGCTTTTCTGAAGGATCAGTAAGTGACACCACCGCCACACACAGACCTGTATGTGCAGCCGGCAGAAGCGCTTCTGTGTGACGTGACATCACATACCGATCCTTGGGCTGATGTCTGCGACTTTGCTGCAGGGGAATAAAAACACGCGCAACTGAGTTTACTTTCTAATGTGATAGTTATTGTAACGCCTCTTGTGAGAAGGATCAGGGTCCAGTCTTCATTGTGAGCCTGTGCGGGGTTTGAGGACTGATGATAGTAGCAAGGCTGGTCCCAGTCACTATCACCACACTCTCTCCGAGTAAGTGCTGGACTGTTAGGACAAAGCAGAACACCACTCCTTCCTCAAGCACCAGAAAAGGGCCCTGTTGTCCCTTTCGGATTTTTAGATCACAAAATATGGTAAACCACACCTTGTAATTGTGGCTCGGCTTTTGTGCATAAGGATATTGAAATACATGGGTGAACTGTACACAGCTCCAATCTGTCCACTTTACCCGGGTCACCCACCTTTAGTACCAATCAGCTGCACCCTCTTTACAGACAACATCTCACATGTAACCTAATACATGAGGCTTTCAACTTTAAAAGAAAAGAACTGCTTCTAAAGCATTTAAAAGTCTCATTTTGTATTCTTATTTTGTGCATTGGAAGCTCCACCTTTCCATTAGCGGGCACACAACTGGAGACAAGTGCCTCTTTAGGAAGAGTTGATATTCAGGGAGCACTCAGGATCTTTCTTTGTGCATTGTGTTGCAGTGTGGCTAGGGAGCAAGTTAGGAAGGTATGCCTAAAGGCTGATGCATAACTGTTTTAGCTTTTGTGAACACTTTTTAAATTGCTTTTATTACAGGCCTTTTAAGCCACCTGTCGCCAAGACCCTGTAGACTGCATGGCCTATTTTTTCTAGAGTTCACCACGGAGACGGCCGTGGAGGTTGATACTCTGAGTTGCCTTAAAAGTCAGGTCTTTGAATGAGGTGGAGTCAGACCTGGGTGGATGATTTACTGCATTAGTCGAGGGTTATAGCCACTGCTGTTTTGCCTGCCTGATCAACTGCTGATTTTTGTGTCCTGGTATTAAATGTGGATTCTTTTTATGAGACTCTGTTACAGGTGGTGTGCCTTCAACTTAGCCTTATTGTGTGGTGTTTTATGTGTGGGACTTGTGTTTAGGTGGCAGCAGTGTGCGGTGTCAGGGCATCCTGGTGGCCCTCTACAAATCTACATCTGTCCACTGCAAAGGCTCTACCACAACCTGGAGGAGGAACTAGTATAAATGCCTATTAGTATAATATAACATTAACATTATAACAACATTTACAGTAGGTTTTAGTCTTCACTCACCCACTATGCTTGTAAATCATTTAAGGGCATATGGGAGTGAAAGAGTTGCACTGCAGAGCCCTGCGTCACTGTACTGTTGTTCATACTATAGCCTACTGTATATGATATAAATGTGTATAAAAAGACATAAGTTGACATCATCCTTATGCACAAAAGCAGAGCCACAATTTAAAGGCGTTGTTACCATAAATCATGATGTAAATATCCGAAAGTGACAACAGGGCCCTTTTATTGTGCTGGAGGAAGGAGTGGTGTTCTGCTTTGTCCTGACAGTCCAGCACTTATTTGAATGATGGTAGGTGACTGGGACCAGCGTTGCTACTATCATCAGTCCTCAAACCCTGCACAGACACATATAAACACAAGTCAGAACAACTCAGTCATCTCAATAGGAAAATAAACAAACAAACCGTGCAACAGGATTAAACTCTTTAATCACAAACACAATCAGCTTAATCACAGCAAAAATAAGTACTTTGTGACACAACTATCATGGCATAAAAGGTACCCAAAAAATCCAAAAGTACCAAGCAGATAAACACTGAAATTTCCTATGGTAGCATTATATTGATTGATGTATCAACAAGCTACTTGGAGATTTTTTTTTTTTTTTTTTTTACTTAAGTGAAAAATTCTAAATTAGGATTAGTTTTCAATACAAAAATAAAATTAGTATCAAAGTCACTGGTGATCGATCATGTCACATGGGAGAGGACAGGCATTTAGTACTTGGCATATTCACACCCTATAGTCATGAGGCAAGCCCGCTGCTACGAAGCTAACCATACAGAATTTCATTTCACAGCGTAGCCTATGATGTGTGGTTTGATCAAGAAGATGAGCGGCGCTTCAACATGTCTCAGTTTGAGTTCAGAGAATCCAGCCGCCTCCAGATGCTTCCACGTTTCCCGGGTGAGCATGCACCCATCGCCCAAGTAGTACCACGCAGGCTGGAGAACATGCTGGAAGAAGTAGGCCCAGGTGGAGGGGTCAGCCATAACATGCTCGATGAAGAAGAAGGCTCCTCCCTGCAAAGCAAAGATTGGTTATGTGTAGCAGCATAACATAGTATGCAAATGGAAATAAATGTATCCATTCCACCTGATAATACATGTTGTTTATTTAACTCTCTTGCAGAAAGGGGTTCCCATAGCCTACTTGTTGTGTGTGGCCTACTTTGAGGTCTACTGGTAGAAACTGTCACGTACAAAAACGTGCAAGTTGAATATCAGATGCAAGTTGATATTATGGAGTGAAATTCTGAGAATACTGATTGGCACATCAATATGAATTATGAAAACACACTGGCATCATCTCAGGACAAAGGTAGCAGCAGTGAATGATTATTAATAAAAGTCAATGGGGAATCCAGTGGCAACAACCTAAAGATGAAATAATTAGTACTTAGGGTGGTGCATCTGCAGGAGATCATTTCTCTGCTTTGCATGTTTTACATCAACATGTGTACTACACAGCAGACGCCTCTCTAACATAGGCCTACACAAGCACACAAGGTTTATTTAGCATTTTCAATTTTATTTCATTATCTAAGTAAATTCTATCGCCCACATAAAAACATACAAAATGAAATATAGCACCCAATACCAAAAAAACACACTTATTTGCTTGTTGTTTGTTTAGGGGATTGTTTCCACTGGTGGATCATTAATCCAGAAGTTGAACCGCAGCGCAGCAATTATTTGAACAGTAGAGCCTTAATCAAATACAGGCTATGGCTGCAGCCTACTGGGAATATACCTATTTTGACCCAATGGTTTTTCGGGAGCCACAGATGACTTACTGGTCTGAGTATGCGGTGGGCCTCTCGCAGAGTTTGCGGTATGTTGTTGACAGAGCAGAGCACCAGGGTGCAGACAACAGCGTCTACCGACTCGTCCGGCACTGACCCCATGTCCTCCCCCGACGCCCCCACAAATCTGTCGTACTTGAGGTGGTCATTCTCGCCCATGCTCTTCTTCAGATATTTCTGAAAGTGGGGGTTCGGGTCAGTGCAGATCACCTTGCTGCCAGGCGGATAAAACTGAAAATTTGTGCCGGTGCCGCAGCCAATCTCCAAAATTGTCAGCCGCCCGCTGCCAGGCTTGTTGAACTCCGTGAGGCTGCGAAACAGCTCCTTTTTCCTGTCGTGCATTTTTTTGTTGTACATTACAGAAGTGCGGTATACACAAAATGGTAAGAAACGTTTGTATATTTGATACAGGCCTACCGCTTCCATCAGATGAAGGGGCAAACATAACGCACTGACGACCAAACTACAAAGTCGCATCAGAAAACTCATTTTTGCTGACCGTGACTATATAAAATACCCCTGACCTGCGTGGCGACCGGGTCCATGTACGGTCCGGGTATCTGTGGATAATCCGTAATTCGTTTGTAATTCAAAAACTAAAATACCTTTTATCTGTTTTTTGTTTCAAAACGAAAAACAAAATAACCGTTTTTGGTGTCAGAATCAAAAAACGAATTTTCCGTTTTTTTTACGGTTCATTTTATCGTTATTCGTTTTTAAATAAATAATAAAGAGGGTCTGTGAACTTCAGTCAATTCGTTTTTCGTTATAGATCATAAACGGAAGCCACGTGGTCTGATCTATTATAAAACCTTCAAAATAAAAGTAGCCCATCTACTGTGTGATTAGCAAGCAAAATAAAATGACGTTTTTAATAAAACTAAAATAACTTTTTTTAGTAAAACTAAACTAACTCTGGGTGTGAAAAAAAAAAACTTTAGTTAACTGAAATAAAAATAAAAACTAATATAATAATAACTCTGACAAATGTTTAGTTCTCCCTAACAGCCAGGCCATTGGTGACCTGTAACTTCAGATTAAGACAAGTTATGTAATGTTATATGTAGCTTAGGACAGCAGATAGCCTATTTATTTAAGTTTCTATTATTTCATTCATATTTTAGTTTCGTAACATATTTATAGGCCTTCTTGCTATGTGGGAGCTCAACCAGCACAGGTCACTCTACCACCTTCTGTGATGCCAACAGGCAGCAAGTTTCTGACCTTTTGACTTGTGTTTATATCAAAGAGAAGGCTGCACTGCTACCTCAGGAAGCTAATCACTGAGTTTGAAGGATTTGCAGAACTTCACCTGCCTTCCAGCTCCTCTTTCTATGGCACTATAACTGTTAAAAACTCTCAACTTCAACAATCTACTGCTGTCTCTTCTGTGTCAAAACCATAGATTGTATATAAAAAGGTCAAAACAAAACTTTTCCTAAACAAATCTGTGGAGTTGTATACTTTTCTATTTATGCAATTTTGAGACATTTAATTTGTCAGTGAAATATAAAGTATTATGTTACTCAGATTAAGTAAGATTAAATATTTTTAATGCAGCCTGTTCATGCAGCCTCCAAATTAGTTATACTATTATTATTAGGCCTACTTATATGTGAAACCTGGAGACCATTGAGTAAAAAAGAATCTTTCACTGCCTTTCTTGGGTTTAATTCTGTTTGATGAACCACCAGGGAAAGGCAGAGCTTACTCTGTTCGTACCTAAACTCAGCAAAAAAAGAAACGTCCTCTGACTTTCAACAGTTTTTTCTTTCAGTAAACTTAATGTGTGTAAATATTTGTATGAACACTAAAAGAGTCAACACCATAAGACATAAACGAAAATGTTTCACAGACATGTGACTAACAGAAAGAGAATAATCTGTCCCTGAATGAAGGGAGGCTCAAAATCAAAAGTGCCAGTCAGTATCTGGTGTGGCCACCAGCTGCTTGAAGTACTGCAGTGCATCTCCTCCTCATGGACTGGACCAGATTTGTCAGTTCTTGCTGTGAGATGTTACCCCACTCTTCCACCAAGGCACTTGCAAGTTCCTGGACATTTCTGGGGGGAATGGCCCTAGCCCTCACCCTGCGATCCAACAGGTCCCAGACGTGCTCAATGGAATTGAGATCCGGGCTCTTCGCTGGCCATGGCAGAACACTGACATTGCTGTCATGCAGAAACTCACGCACGAGCAGTATGGATGGTGGCATTGTCCTGCTGGAGGATCATCTCCGGATGAGCATGCATAAAGGGTACCACATGAGGGAGGAGGATGTCTTCCCTGTACCGCAAGGCATTGAGATTGCCTGCAATGACAACAAGCTCAGTCCGATGGTGATGTGATATACCGCCCCAGACCATGACGGACCCCCCACCTCCCAATCGATCCCGCTCCAGAGTACAGGCCTCGGTGTAACGCTCATTCCTTCGACAATAAACACGAATCCGTCCATCACCCCTGGTGAGACAAAACCGTGACTCATCAGTGAAGAGCACTTTTTGCCATTCCTGTCTGGTCCAGCGAAGGTGGGTTTGTGCCCATAGGCGGCGTTGGTGCTGGTGATGTCTGGTAAGGACCTGCCTTACAACAGGCCTACAAGCCCTCAGTCCAGCCTCTCTCAGCCTATTGCGGACAATCTGAGCACTGATGGAGGGATTGTGTGTTCCTGGTGTGACTCGGGCAGTTGTTGTGGCCATCCTGTACGCAGGTGTGATATTCGGATATACCGATCCTGTGCAGGTGTTGTTACACGTGGTCTTCCACTGCGAGGATGATCAGCTGTCCTTCCTGTCTCCCTGTAGCGCTGTCGTAGGCGTCTCACAGTGCGGACATGGCAATTTATTGCCCTGGCCACATCAGCAGTCCTCATGCTTCCCTGCAGCATGCCTAATGCACGTTCACGCAGATGAGCAGGGACCCTGGGCATCTTTCTTTGGGTGTTTTTCACAGTCGGTAGACAAGTCTCTTTAGTGTCCTGCGTTTTTAGAACTGTGACCTTAAGTGCCTACTCTCTGTAAGCTGTTAAGGTCTTAATGACCATTCCACAGGTGCATGTTAATTAATTGATTATGGTAAATTGAACATGCATGGAAAACATTGTTTAAACCCTTTACAATGAAGATCTGTAAAGTTGTTTGGATTTTTATAACATTATTGTTGAAATACACAGTCCTGAAAAAGGGACGTTTCTTTTTTTGCTGAGTTTATATATAGTAAAATAAAAGCGAAGTTGAGTCATTTAGTTTGTCTCCCTGGTACTCATCTCAACACCTCACAGATTTTCACCAATACTTGGAGGATGTGAGTCTGTGCAGGGTCACTTTCAGATATTTACATCATGATTTATGGTAACCACGCCTTGTAATTGTGGCACTGTTTTAGTGGGTAAGGATGATGTCAACTCTTTCACTCCCATATGCCCTTAAATGATTTACAAGCATAGTGGGTGAGTGAAGACTAAAACCTACTGTAAATGTTGTTATAATGTTGCCTTTGAAAGCATGTATGTGCAATATATGTTGAATAAATGTTGTATGGAAAGACTTGTATGGATTCTCTTCACTTGCATGACACAATGGGAGTGTTATATGTTATACACACTGGAATGTGTATGGAAAAGAAAGATTCACACAGTACATAGCGCACTGGTAAATCCTTCTTTTGGCCAGATGGCCTACATTAGGACATTTCTAGTGTGAGTTTGTTGTCAGAGCTGCTGAGAAGCTGACAGCAGTGTTAGAAGCAGGTTAGAACAGAAGGGCATGCAGGTTTAACTCTGGGCTGAAGGTGAATGATGAAGATGATAACTAAGCTGCAAATAAAAAATAAATATCACAAAAACAAATGAAATGACCAACAATAAATCCATGTATATCAGTAATCTGGATTCAAAACGTTTAACAAAGACACAGTACAGGCCTTCATTGAAATACTGCCACCTGCTGGTAGAAAGGGGGAACAGCTTTGTTCATTATGACTATATGACTTTAATATTAAAAATATAGAGCTGACAGTAACAACTCTGCACGCACAATAATTTCTTAGGTTAACCTATATTAGCCTACAAACTGTACTGCACCAAACAATGCGCTCAAAAAACGTGACTCTTGCTGTTTTCATGAATAACTGCACAATATTATAGTGCATGTAATCCTACTGTTTCTAACGCATTTCTCTCGGTCCATGTTTATTGATTTATTTATTTTCATCTAACGTCACCCTGGTATAACGTTAGTGCTGCATAATGTTACAGGTCTGACCGTTCTACAAGCTTGGCTTTTATTTTAAAATGTTTACTCTTCCTTCCGGGTCACCTGGATTGCATGCACCTCCAAATACTGCTTTTAAACGCCATACCATTCTTTGTGGGTTTCATCAATGGTGATAAATGATTCGAAGTATATATTTTATGATGGTTTAGAGTCTTTAATATTTTAATAAACTTAGAAGAAGTACCATTCCTTGAGATTCAGTAAATATATGTGGTGATAACCGCGTTTGATCAGTGAGCACAGCAAAGTGTCTGAAAAGGACCTAAAGAGGTGGATGCATAATCCTGCAGAACACATTTTGCAGCCTGCCGAGATTTGCTTTATCACTCGCGAGGTGCATGCAATTCTCAGGCAGACAGACAGAACTCGGCACAACACCGGCTCAGCAGGTGACGTTGTAACCATGGAAACAGTACACACCTGTCTGCGCTGGAAGGAGTGCGTGCAACAACGAAAAATGGCTTCGGTACAGAAAGAAATCTTTACATGTGTGGTGTCTGGGGACTTGGAAACCATTCGGGAGCATTTTAAACGCGACGGTGACACGGAGGACTCGCAGGGAGATGATTTGTTCGGCATGAGGGACGAGGTCGGGAGGAACGCCATGTTGACCGCCTGCATGTTGGGGAGGAGCGACATGGCACGAGAACTGGTCGCACACGGAGCCCGCGTGGACGAGCAGACTGTCAGGGGTGAGTACAGCACACTGGTTTGTTGAGCAAGTGGGTAGGCTTACATGAACGAAATGTTTTAAGGAGCATAATTAAGTTAAAAGTGGGGCAATAAAGGGAAAGAAATGGCTTACAGCAGCCTAAAGATATGTTGGAATAAGTGGTGGACTGTAGGCTAACTAAGTAAATTTGAGGTGACTTACCAGTATTTTTTTTCATGCCACTTTCTACTTTATATTTATCTGTATTTTAGTCTTTTCAATGTTTATCTTGTATTGTTTTTGTATTATTGTCTCTTGGGTATTATTATTATTATTATTGTTATATTATTATTGTCTTTACACTTGTTAAAGCACTTGCAACTTGTTTTTGAAAAGTGCTCTACAAATAAAGATTATTATTATTATTATTACTTCTACTCCACCACATCCACAGGGAAATATTGTACTTTTACCTTCACTATTTATCTAATAGCTTTAATTACTTTACAAATTAAACTTTTACACACAAAAACATATGAAGAGAGTTTATAAAAGATGATTTTTTTGTTATAAATTAAACTACCTTTTAACTATTTTATACAAGTAGCCTACAGCTAATACGATTATACTTTTTATTGTTCATTTATTTTATTTTAAATGTAAAAACATTTAATGGATTCAGCTTCACACATGTGAAGATTTGCTGGTTTTCCTTTTAATAATTTGAATTATTTGAATGTTTGTTAATAATGTTGAGGTTTGGATTGTTTGTGGGAGGAAACAAAGCATTATGAAGGCATCACTCTGGGTTAATTCTTAATTGTGAGGGAATTTCTCACTATTTTCAGAATTATACAAACAATCAATCAATTTGTGGAGAAAATAATCAGCAGATGAATTCATAATGAAAAAAATTTGTAATTGCAG